GCTGCCTTACTACTTAAACAATACACCAACATGCCGTTACTGCCTAATACACATTTGCTGCCATACTCGTAACATTTTGCACTGCCGTCATGCCCATTATATCAGGAGTAGATACTCCTCATTATATGTTTGGTAAGAACAGACTGCCTACTATAAGTATAGAGTTACTGCTACTACATGCACGCGCACATAAGAACTGAATGAGTGAGCCCTCGTACACACGCTGCATAAATTACCCTTTGCCGCCGGCGCACGGCCACGCCCCTGCTTCACTGACATCACACATACACCCCTTAGGCTTAAAGGCCAAAGCGCGAATCGTGTTGATCACGCTGACAATAGTTTGATTAAAACAAGAGGGCGTTAGTCCGAGAGAAATTTAAACTGGGGCCCGTAGCATCTGTGCGCAGGCATGCAACAGCAGACACGCACACGTCACTACCTTTAGACTAGAGTGAAAATGAGCTGATTAGGCTGGTTCGTTGCCAACCCGGCACACATTTATTTTTAATCACTAACATCTTATCCCCCCCCCCACCACCACCACCACTTTACTCACACCCGTAACGATACTAGCGCTCCACTATAATTAAGGGAGACGATCTTAATTTAAACGTGGCGCAACGATTGAAACGGGGGGGGGGGGGTTTTCCCAAACGGGGCGGGCGCGCCCGCTTTGCGCAACGTAGGGAGGGGCCTGTTGTTATGTGTATTGACAGCCACTATCATAATAATAATTAACTGTACGTGGGAGCAGAATATTATGTACAATGGGCAGAGTACATCCTTACAACATTCATGCAGCCTGTAGTATCACTGTGGCATTTATAATGGTGTAATAAGTGCTGGATGTTGTGGGTATAGTAACACCGAAGATTAAACATACCTGCAGGGTTCGACACTAACGCTAGTCCGAGACTCGTAAAAAATAAGAAGGACTAGTAAATGCCCCATAGCCGTTAGTCCTGCGGACTAGTTATTTTCCCAGTCCCTCACCGTCCCAATTCCCCATCCTCCCATCGATTTTACTATATAGTCTCCGGCGGCAGCTTCTCTCAACCAAGATCTATAGAACGTAAGATTCGTATCCAACGAAAGAGCTATATATTATATAACTCATTGCCATCAACAAGTTTTCCCTGTTAGACGTGTTAGTACAAGTAGACGCTAGCACGCTCTGCAAGCTAGACCCTATGACAGTATATATATTGTTAAACAATGGGGCCACAAACCAGTCTACCGATCGATCGCTTGACAGTAGCTGTCGACATAGAACAAACGGTCCGATTGTATAAATGACACAACTAATCAGTTATACGCTCTCATAGCGAGGTATTTACATCGCAACCACATCGCATGCGTGTTTTACTTGAAGCAGTCGATACAAATAGTTATCTATAGTAGTGATACAAGTAGTGAAGCATAGTAGTAGGTACATCCTTATCAAAATACTAACATCAAGGTTGTTATGTGGAAGTATTTGGACGGAGCTCGTCCTCCACCTCCCAAACGTCAGTCGCAGGAGGAGAAATTAGATGGCCAGCGTGTCTATGATAAGACCGAAAGGATGCGTATGTTCCAGCTAGCCAGCGTGGAAATCGTCATACCCATGGCTAGAGTATGACCCAGCCAAGGGTATGACCTGTGGTGCAGGCTGTATGTCTGGTAGTTTTTTCACCGGCAGGGTTCTCCCTACGTTGCGCAAACGGGGCGCGCGCGCCCCGTTTGGGAAAACTCCCCCCCTGTTTCAATCGTTGCGCCCCGTTTAAATTACCTCCGCCCCGATTAACTTCCACAACAATAAGTTTGCCAACGAGGGAATCGATCGTCAAGAATTCCCATTCGACCAGGACACCCTGCGCGTGTATTTTTACCGTGCCACGCATGCACTGGAGACAATACACAAGTACAAACAGTCAACCTGTCCCACACCCACAACGACTCGGGTATCTTATAATTATATATATCAGGGTTCATAGTAGTAAGACACATGTTGAAATAAGGACTTATAAGACCCTTTCTGGATGCCAAAATAAGATTTTTTACGCGATTTCTAATAGATCACCGACTATTAAAGTACACTAATAATATTTATATACACAATTGCACAGCAGATTTAATTATTCCGTATTATATATACAACAATTCTTACTCTAAGTCGAGAACAGCTTATAAAACAATGTTGAAAAAGGACTATTAAGTACTTTTCTAAGATTTCACCAAAAATAA